CTTTGCTCCACTCCCCCCAGCCATCCCAGCCCTGAGGTCCCCTCACCCCCAGCTCTGCCCGTGCCTCTCAACCCTTCTCCTCTCCTCCCTCCCCTTGGCCTTCCCAGCCCTGAGTCCCCCCAGCTCTGCCTACACCCCTCATCCCTGCTCTGCTCCCTGCTCACTATCCAGCCCTGGGATCCCCCCCAGCTCTGCGGCACCTACTGAGCTCGGGGGCTCCTGGTGCAACGCCTGCCAAGTGTGCCCAGCGGCATGGTGGTGGCCAAAGCGCCCGTTCTGGTGAAGGGGGGTGTCAGCCCAGCCAGCACAAAGAGGGCTCCCAAAAGTCATCCCTCTGGGGCTGGACGCAGGCGTCCGAGCCAGACGCCCGGTGGGGAAAAGCCAGGGCTCACTGCATCTCCCGCGTCCTGCCCAGCAACCCAGCTGCTGCCTCCGGGGAGCTACGTTCAGGGCAAAATCCTCCCCAGAGTCAGACCCACCACACAGCAACCGGCTCCCACCACAGCTCAAACGGGCCTCTACCGTCCCCAGCCAGCGCCGGCGGGACAGGCCTGCAGCCAGGGGGGGTCCTGCCCACCCATGCCTGCCCCATAGAGGGGGGACGGATGGGCTCTCCCGGCTAGCCTGTCCCTCGGCTGGCCCAGTGGGTCACAACAAGGTAGGGCCCAGGATCTGGTCTGGGGAAAGCTCCTCCAGCAACCTTGGGCTACCCAGCTGCTCCAGGGGGCTCTTCAAGGCCAGAGGGCAGAACAGGGCGACCACAGACCCTCTATAGCCTGGAGGGCATCGAGTCACAGCCAGGTCCCTCCCCCGGGCCTGAGGCAAGGAAGGAAACGGGCGGATCGAAGAACCCCCCAAATTCTCCTGTTTTCAAAGGAAAGAGCCCCCCTGGTCCTCGCCTCCACAGGGCCCAGCCTGGCACGGCTCCGCGCCCTAGGGCAGGGCATGGAAGAGGCCAGCCTGCACGCCACAGCCCCGGGAGGGGCCCTGCGAGGCTGTTCTTGCACCCAGTGACGATCAGAGGTGGCCGGGAATGGCCGGCAGCCCCCCATC